TTTGTTACACTTCTAGGAGTGTTAATTACTATTATGGTAGAGAACTCTTTCGTTGTACTTTAGTAGTAAACTGGGCAAAAGGGCTTGGTTTGAGTGTCATCATTCTGGGCTGCAAATTCTGGTCCCCACAGATGTGCCTGAAGGAAGTATCACTGAGATTCACAAAGCAGTTAGAAACAACGGAGAAAGATTAAGGAAGGCCACGGGGAAGAAAATAGTCGGACAACGCACTCACCCCCGGGACAAAGGTTGGAGGCTGCAAGGGAGTTGTGCTAATGTCACTGTGGACCGACGAATCCAGATCCGAGAGGTCGCTGACTGAACGCAGAGACGTTACACTGCTTGTCATGGGTGCCATGGAGAAGAACATCTCTGCGAAGAGAGAGGGAAAATGGGTGGAAGGTTTAACATTTGCTAGTGGGGGGGGGGAGATGCTTGATGCTCTAGGAGCTTGGTTGTTTTCTTGCAGACATTTTATTACCCAATTGGGTAACATTATCAGTGCAAGAACGGAGTTGGAGTTGGAGTTGGAGGAGGACGATGACGACGACTACTACTACTTTGGGATCCTTGGTGCTCTTGGAGTTTGGTTTTCTTGCAGACATTTTATTACCCAACTGGTAACATTATCGGTGTGAGAATGGGGTGGGGTTGGAGGAGGAGGAGGAGGAGGAGGAGGAGGAGGAGGAGGAGGAGAAGAACTGCGGGGCCCTTGGTGGTCTCAGAGCTTGTTTTCTTGCAGAAGTTTCAATACCCAACTAGGGAACATCATGAGCGCTAGCTTTTAACATTTGCTATCTCACATTCTTTTTCAAAGAGGACACCAAGCATGTGAAGAGTGCAAAACATTTCTAGACTCTGGAGAGAATGTCCAAATCTGGGAGTGGTTATAGGTTCCCCCCCCTTTTATTCTATTGTTTACTTATTGAACAAATTTATATAGAGGCCCAACTGAACATAGGGGGCTCCAGGCAGCTTACAAAATTCTAGCCTAATCTACCATATAATAAAAACCCATAAAAAAAAGAGTCTAGCAGCAGAGGGAGACCTAAGAAATGACAACTGCATCAAAGAGATCTATTGACTCTGTCGTTCTTCTGGAGAGAGAAGGAGTGATGGGTCTCCTTCAAGGGCTCTCTTGCTAAGAATCACCTCCGTTCTCCACTCCAGCAGCCATTCCCTCCAGATGTGCAGGAGCCGATGCCAACCCTGAATGCAGCTGCTGGCTGAGGTCTTGCTCAATCAACTTCAGATCTTCAGAATCCAGAGGGCGGTTTTTGCTCAGCTGTTCCTGCAGAATGCCGGATTCTTTGTCAGCGGAAGAGGGGAGAAGAAAAGGTTAGTTAGTTTGGGGGCCTCTAGATGCTCCCATGCAACACCTCTCCTGCGCGAGCTGCACTGGCTGCCGGTGGCCTTCCGGGTGTGCTTCAAGGTGTTAGTAACAACTTTTAAAGCGCTCCATGGCAATGGGCCTAGGTACTTGCAAGACCGCCTCCTACCAAACACCTCCCTTCGACCAGTCCGCTCCCACAGAGAGGGCCTCCTTAGGGTGCCGTCGGCCAGACAATGCCGGCTGGCGACCCCCAGGGGGAGAGCCTTCTCTGTGGCAGCTCCTGCCCTCTGGAATGACCTACCCCCCGACCTACGTACAGTTGCGGACCTGCGCCTTTTTCGCCGAGNTTTGTTACACTTCTAGGAGTGTTAATTACTATTATGGTAGAGAACTCTTTCGTTGTACTTTAGTAGTAAACTGGGCAAAAGGGCTTGGTTTGAGTGTCATCATTCTGGGCTGCAAATTCTGGTCCCCACAGATGTGCCTGAAGGAAGTATCACTGAGATTCACAAAGCAGTTAGAAACAACGGAGAAAGATTAAGGAAGTCCACGGGGAAGAAAATAGTCGGACAACGCACTCACCCCCGGGACAAAGGTTGGAGGCTGCAAGGGAGTTGTGCTAATGTCACTGTGGACCGACGAATCCAGATCCGAGAGGTCGCTGACTGAACGCAGAGACGTTACACTGCTTGTCATGGGTGCCATGGAGAAGAACATCTCTGCGAAGAGAGAGGGAAAATGGGTGGAAGGTTTAACATTTGCTAGTGGGGGGGGGAGATGTTTGGTGCTCTAGGAGCTTGGTTGTTTTCTTGCAGACATTTTATTACCCAATTGGGTAACATTATCAGTGCAAGAACGGAGTTGGAGTTGGAGTTGGAGGAGGAGGAGGAGGATGACGACTACTACTACTTTGGGATCCTTGGTGCTCTTGGAGTTTGGTTTTCTTGCAGACATTTTATTACCCAACTGGTAACATTATCGGTGTGAGAATGGGGTGGGGTTTGAGGAGGAGGAGGAGAACGACGACGACTGCGGGGCCCTTGGTGGTCTCAGAGCTTGTTTTCTTGCAGAAGTTTCAATACCCAACTAGGGAACATCATGAGCGCTAGCTTTTAACATTTGCTATCTCACACTGTTTTTCAAAGAGGACACCAAGCATGTGAAGAGTGCAAAACATTTCTAGACTCTGGAGAGAATGTCCAAAACTGGGAGTGGTTGTAGGTTCCCCCCCCTTTTATTCTATTGTTTACTTATTGAACAAATTTATATAGCGGCCCAACTGAACATAGGGGGCTCCAGGCAGCTTACAAAATTCTAGACTAATCTACCATATAATAAAAACCCATAAAAAAGAGTCTAGCAGCAGAGGGAGACCTAAGAAATGACAACTGCATCAAAGAGAACTATTGACTCTGTCGTTCTTCTGGAGAGAGAAGGAGTGATGGGTCTCCTTCAAGGGCTCTCTTGCTAAGAATCACCTCCGTTCTCCACTCCAGCAGCCATTCCCTCCAGATGTGCAGGAGCCGATGCCAACCCTGAATGCAGCTGCTGGCTGAGGTCTTGCTCAATCAACTTCAGATCTTCAGAATCCAGAGGGCGGTTTTTGCTCAGCTGTTCCTGCAGAATGCCGGATTCTTTGTCAGGGGAAGAGGGGAGAAGAAAAGGTTAGTTAGGCAAGTGAATCTTCCCAAAGAGGAGAGGGGGAAAAAAATCACGAAATCAGTAATTTGGTATTTGCAGAGACAGAAAAGAAGCTGGACAAGACCACAAAACTGTACATTTAATTTTGTTTTTTTATTTATATCCCGCCTTTATTTTATTTTTTTACAAATAACTCAGGGCAGTGAACAGATCCATCAGACCTTCCTCCTCCTATTCTCCCCACAGCAACAACCCTATGAGGTGGGTTGGGCTGACAAAGAAGAGCAACTGGCCCAAAATCTCCCACTTGCCTTTCAGGCCTAAGGCAGGATTAAGAACTCACAAGTCTCCCGGTGACTGGCCCACAGCCATCTAGCCGGCTTTCATGCCTAAGGCAGCACCTAGACCTCACCGTCTCCTGCTTTCCAGCCTGGCACTTTCGCTACTAGACCAAACTGGCTCTTACCCAGCCTGCAAGGTGTCCCCAGAAGCACAATTCTCACTTTTTCCAGATTCACACAACCCCTGGAGTCCTGAGTTAACCAAAGATATTGGATTCACCAACAAACTAAGGGCAAATGTGTATACGTTGCCTCTTTGGCCGATTTAGTCAGTTGTGTGTGCAGGATGAACCACCCAAGAGTTACTTTTTCCATGGAAAAGGGCCTAGGGCAGTGCTGCTCAACCTTGGCGTGCTGGCTGGGGAATTCTGGGAGTTGAAGTCCACACATCTTCAAGTGGAGGGGGGCGGGCATATATGCACACGTGCGTGCTCAACTACTTGCACAAGTCGAGCGGCGTGCATGAATGCGTGTGCCGATCCACCCTTTGCACGGTCCGGCTCCCCTCTCCCTAACCCCAGCTGGGTCGCTAAGCTGCAAAGGTTGGGGACCGCTGACCTAGATCATAACTTCTCCAGCCCTCCCGCTGGACCCCCACCGCTCACCAGACAGGTTCAGGGATGAGAGAAGGTCCGCCAGGTGCACGATCTGTTGAGGGGCGAGCAGCAGGTGCAGAGATCCAATCTTCCCATCTAACTCCAGCTGCAGGTGGAAAGAACCACGTCCCACGTCAAAGAAGAAGTTCTGCCCATTTCAGGGGAGGAAAGGGCAAAATCCAGGTGTTTCCCTCTCTCCCTGGACCCTACACCCTAATTCCCATAAAGAAGACCCATCTAGACCAGGACGCTAAACCGAGCACGCATTCCGGAGAAAAATCAACAGATTTGCATGCTTTCGCGATTAAAAAACATAAAACAGAATAATAATAGGAGTTGGAAGGGATCTCGGAGGTCTTCTAGTCTAATCCCCTGCTTAAGCAGGAGACCCTATACCACTTGAGACAACATTTCAGACAAAAAAAGCATTCCTATGTCTCTTTGTTGACCTGGCTTACCTAGAAGAGTTGACATCAATCTTGAAAGTTTCTTTCCCTCCTTCTTATACTGAACAGCTTCAATGGGGGTGTTAGTTTGAGCTTCTTTCTCACGTTTCCTTAAATTTTTGGACTGGGGGAATCACTTCCTCCTTCATAGCTCTTTCATGTTTTCCCTAAGGGCAGTTCCAAATTGCTTTGAACCATCCTTGCCCTTAGTGGTGGCTTGTTTGTGTGAGCTACTATTTAATCAACAACCCAGGTTTAAGCAAATGATGGCTTGTTGCAAGGAACCAGTCTAAAATATATGATATATGATTTCAAGGTGCCTAAGCTAATAATAGCCAGTTCCACTTATCCAAGGAAGACCTGGGACCAAGCCCACACTCACCCAGGGATCTCTCTCTGTTTCTGTGTTAGGAAAGATCAGGGACACACCTTAAGTTCGTTAAACTGATTTATTGCTCATGTCCATGCATAGGAATCTACTGAACTGTCAGCGATATTTTGGTTAACAGAATTCAAGAGGGTTGGACTGCTTGTAGCAATTAACAACTCTAGGCTGATTCCTCTCTTGACTCTGCCCCTTGGCTTTGCCTGTCCTTCTCCTACATTACAGGTAGTCCTTAACTTACAACAGTTTGTTTAGTAACTGTTTGAACATACAATGGCCCTGGAAAAAGTGACTTATAACCGTTTTTCACACTTTCGACCATTGCAGCATTCCTATGATTACATGATCAAAATTCCATAAGTTTTGGCAACTGATTCATATTTATGACGGTTCCAGTGTCCCGGGGTCATGTGATTTGCGATCTTCTGACCAGTAAAGTCAATGGGGAAGCCAGAGGCAACGAAACACCATGTTGCTAACTTCACAACTGCAGTGATTCACTTAACAATTGTGGCAAGGAAGGTCATAAAATGGGACAAAACTCACTTAACAAATGTCTCACTTACTGACAGAAGTTTTGGGCTCAATTATGGTCGTTAAGTCGAGGACTACCTGTATGCTTAAGCTCATCTCTCTTTCACTAGCTCAGTTTAGCCTGTTAAAATCAAGCAGGGGGAACTTCTGAAATCATTCCTGTACTTCTTGAGAGAAAGGCAGGCTAAAAAGTAGCAGTTCACAAACATGCGAGTTTTTCGCTTTCCCCAAGTTTCCTGGATGCGTTCAACAAGCCAGCATTGACCCAAATGACCTTGGCTCCAGGGAAGGCCTCGTTCTGCTTGAGCTTAATCCTCATCTCGGTGTATCCAGAGCAGCTTCCGATCTGAATCAGAGGGCTGTGTCTGGCTTCTTCCCCACCGGAATCGCACGGCTCAGTCTCCTGGGAAAAAAGGAAATCAAAGCTTCCCTAAAAACAATGCTGAGGACTTGCAGCACAGCAGCTGCCATCCAAGAGTTCCAGCCGAGCCCAAGGCTACTCCTCCGACTGTCGGGAATGGGACATCTTGCCACAGCCAACTCTCTGCGGTCAACTTGCCACAGCCATGGCCAACTTGCAGCGGAGGAACAATTTTCAACAATTCTATTTAATTATTTAAAATAAATAAAAATTATTTTTAATTTTGGTCGATCGCATTTCATTCTGTCCCTCCGTTGGCATCCTTTCTTTAATGATTCTATTCTACCCTTTCTTTGTTATTAGTGTAACTTTTGTCCAGCAACGAGTTGTCCTGCAGCAAGATGGCCGTGGCGAGTTGGCCGTGGCGAATTGTCATAGACCCCCCCCACTGTCATGGCTGCATCTCTCCTATCCAAGCTTCAGGAGCTGACAGCCTGACATTAGCACGGGGGTGGGAGACAGAAAGATCGGAGTGTGTGTCACGGTGGCCTCGCTACGCACACCCTGCTCGCAACCAGACATCAGCAACGGGAAGAGGGAGGGAAGGCATTGGAATGCCAGGGGAGATATCGGGAAGGGTAAAGGAATGCAAGTGTGCCAACTTGAAGCCTGAGACAAGATCCAGCACCCCAAGGTCATCGGCTGGGAAAGTCTGAGGCGGAGAGAGCGTTCCCCAAACAACACGAGTGTCACTGATTGGCTAGACCAGTGGTTCTCAACCTGTGGGTCGGGACCCCATTTGGGGTCGATCAACCATTTCACGGGGGTCGCCAAGCAAGGCTGTCCGCCATTTTTTTTGTCCGCCATTTTTCCCCCCTTTTCCGGCGAGTGCCTTACCTCCCTTGGGCTGGGCCAGCTGGTGGTCGGCCTGCTCCGTCTCTGCCGCTTGCCAGCTACACCTTGGCTGGCGCAGGGGGCGGAACCACACATGCGCGGCGCTCCCGGGCAGGGAAAGTCCTTGACTTATGACCGGTTGGGTAGTCCTTGACTTACGACCGGTTTAGTCCTCAACTTACGACCGGTTTAGTCCTCGACTTACGACTGGTTGGGGTCGCAGCATTAAAAAGGTTGAGAACCACTGGGCTAGACAAATGGACAGTGGGAGGACCAGGGGAAAGTTTTCCTATGCTGTTTGCGAGCGAACATGTTAGAATTGGCTTTTCCACTTCTGTACCCACATGGAATTTTCAGTAAAGTTATACCCTTGGTAAAAGATGTCCCAGGAGTCTCCTTTGCTGTTTCAACCAGTGGGACGGTTGACAGGCTGTAAGGAAGAAGGTTGGGGGGGGGGGAATGGACGCCCAGCTGAGCCTTGTGAGAAGCTCCAGACAGGCAAGGTCAATTGTCGGGTCCCCACTGATCCCTACCGGGACGCTGTCATTTTGGTGGGAGGCTTTTCTGTGATGTAGTCCATTTTACTTTGTTCCTTTTTTTTGCTTTGATGTATCTTCCTAGGGAATAGGAGGTGGGAGGGATGAGCCTGGGGCCAACTGCTTTGTCTCATCTCCGAGAACGAAGGTCTGGGGCGCCTGAGAACAACTTTTTATCACTTTCTCAGCTCAGAGTTCTCACAATACCTTTGTACCTCTGGATTGGCTCTCATGGACTGGGCAGTGGGGACAACTGGAGTTTAAACCAACGTTTTGCGTGGGAAATTTAGATCCTGCCTAACGATACGCAGAGCTGGGAACCAAGAACCTGTTTCCTAAACAATACAAGCTTGATTGGACATCTGCAGGTAACCAGGGGATGGCGGGGCAGGGGAGGGATGAGGGGGGGGGAAAGAGGGATCTTTCTTTTGTGTTGCTTGCACAGGAAAAATCTCAGATTCAGCTTACACTACTGTAGCCATTTAAGCTTCCGTAAAGTATACTCTTGGCAAAAGCAAACAGCCAGGAAGCTTTCTTTGCTAGATGACTGAGTGGGATAGTTGACACACACACACACACACACACACACACACACACACACACACACACACACACCAAGACAGGAGGGGAATCTCCCACAAGGCCATACCTTCGGGCCCCGGGCACTGCCCTCACCAAATTCCTCATAGTAAAGCAAGACGTTGCTGAGCTGAAGAATCTTTTGCACAAAGGCTGGAAGCTGATGGATGTCCACAGTGAGCGCCTGCCCGGGGTCCCGCACTACTTCATCGCAGTACTCCAACCTGCAAAGAGAGGAGGGGGACAGTTAGAACAAGACCCCAGCCATTTCCCACCATGCTAACTCAAGGCATCCGTGGTTTGGGTCAGGTATTGGCTGCCTTCACCCCTCTCACCTACCCAAATTCCTGAATTAACTTATATCCTGGGTCCACATAGGACATTAAACTGAGCTCACCCAACATGACATGCCAATCAATCAGAATAGAGTTGGAAGGGACCTTGGAGGTCCTCTAGTCCAACCCTCGGCTCAAGCAGGAGACCCTATATTATTTGGGACAAATGGCTGTCCAATCTCTTCTTGAAAACTTCCAGTGATGAAGCACCTACAACTTCTGAAGGCAAGCTGTTCCTCTGGTTAATTGTTCTCACTGTTAGGAAGTTTCTCCTTACTTCTAGGTTGGATCTGTCTTTGACCAGCTTCCACCCGTTACTTCTTGTCCTGTCGTCTAGTGCTTTGGAGATTAAATCAATCCCCTCTTCTTTGCGACAGCCTCTTAAGTACTGGAAGACTGCTATCATGCCCCCATAACCCTTCTCTTCCATTGGCTAGACATAGTAGCTCCCTCCACCGTTTGCCATATGATTATACTGTATATGTATATCTATGGGATACTGTATAGCCAATCAACCAGAACAGAGCTGGAAGGGACCTTGGTGGTCTTCTAGTCCAACCCCCTGTTCAAGCAGCAGGTCCTACACCATTCCAGAGAAATGGCTGTCCAGTCTCTCCTTAAAAGCCTCCAATGATGGGGCACCCACAACTTCTGAAGGCCAACTGTTCCACTGGTTAATTGTCCTCACTGTTAGGAAGTTTCTCCTTAATTCCAGGTTGCTTCTCTCCTTGATTAGTTTCCATCCATTCCATTACTTGGTTACTTGTTATCTGAGTTAGATGCCGCTCAGATGACAAGTAACCAAGCTTTACACGGCATGCTAGTGCAACCCCTCAGTTGTGAACTGCCCTGGTTAAACATGTTGTGTGAACTCAACATGGGAATATAAAAAACAGGGTTTGTGATTTAACCCATTGGCTGAAATTGGCCAGTTGTCATTCATCTCACAGGCCACGGTTTCGGTAAACAATGGCTTAGGATGACAGATAACCAGATTATTTTCAACCAAGCCAGAAAGGGGCATAAGTAACAATAGCACTAGCACTTAAGACTTATATACCGCTTTACAATGCTTTATAGCCCTCTCTAAGCGATTTACAGAGTCAGCCTATTGCCCCCAACAATCTAGGTCCTCACTTTTTTATGTTTTAAAAGTTTTATTATTATTTTTAACAGAGTTCATAATAATTATTCAACACTTTAATAACCTTGGAAGGATGGAAAGCTGAGTCAACCTTGAGCTGGTCAGGATCGAACCACTGGCAGTGGGCAGAATTAGCCTGCAATAATGTATTTTAACCACTGTGCCATTTAGTGTTTGGTAGTGTTTGGTGTCCTTTGATCCCATAGCCTTTTTTCAGTGAAACCCCCCCCCCCCCATTGTGGCTCTACAGGTAGCCAAGATGTGACTTTCCCCCCAATAGTGCCTTTCAGATGGTTTGAGGCACCTGTTTCCCAGAATCCCCCAGCCAACATGGCTCCTAGAAGTGCCCCTTCCTTCTTACTCAATAACTCTCCTGATAGAATTGAAAATAAAGAGCACCAAACCGCCCACTCTGAGATGGTCTCCCCCCAGAAAAGAGCCCCCAAAGAGTTAACAGAAGACACTGATTCGGAGAAGGAATAAAGCTGACCTTTTGATGTGAATTTCCAGGGCCACACCGGGTGCCTCTCCGCTTCTGGGCGTGTGCTCCACACGTATCACCGTGTCCACAAAGGTCACTTCAATCCTTCTCAGAACTGGGAGAAAAAAGAAGACGCCAAAGAGGAATACGGGCTGCAGAAAGTCCATTTCTCTCCGCCCATCGACCCCCAATGCCCTCCATGGCTCCGGTTTATTTAATGACTGGCGTTCCTTGCACCATAATTGGGTTTCTACTCTGGGATGTGGCCACCCCCCCCACCCCCCAGGCTGGATTCTTGAACTGGGCAGGGACGTGGCCTGGAAGATCTCCAGAGCCCCTTCTATCCCTGGCCTTCTGGCATCCCGTCTCATTCTGATCCAATTTTATGACATTTTTGCAGCAGTCGTTAAGCAAAGCCCTGGTTCACCATGGACCGGTTTTGCTGGAATGCTGAGTTTTGGCAAAGCCATCATATAACCTGGTCACGTGACTGGAGATGGCTGTAACTATGGGTTAGCACAGACGTGTCAAACACAAGGCCCAGAGGCCGGGCCCGGCCCGCTATGTGGTTCCGTCCGGCCCGGGGACATGCTCTGGAAACAGCAAAGGACCGGCCTGCCACACTTCAGCCTGGCCCAGGCCGACTGGGCACTGATCTACAACCTGGTTGCGTCCATCGAAGCCAGAAGGCGCTCAGCCTTAGATCCACGGGGCAACCCTGCCCTGCTTCCTGGGCGCACGCGCAAGCGGAGTCCAGCATCCCTGCTGGCTGTCTTGCCCCTCAAGCTGACTTCACCCAGGACGCCGGCGCTGGTCGTCTCCTTTGCGCACACCCAGGGGGTGGGACAGAGACAGCAGGGCAGCTCCTTGCTGGTTCCAGGGCTGCCCCATGGATCTAAGGCTGAGCGCATTCTGGCTTTGATGGACGCGACCAGGTTGTTGCGCCACCCCCACCCCCCCCTCACTAGCACCTCCAGCCTCGCAGCCACGAGGCTTTCCTTTCACTGGGACAGCCCCCGCCCGCCCACGTGGGATAGCAAGACCGGTGGCAACATGGCAGCGCTGGCAATCTCTCTCCCTCCCTGAGAGCGGAGGAAGGCAAGAGAAGGCGAAGGAACGGAGGAAGGAAAGAACGGAGGGAGAAAGGGAGGGTGGGAGGGAGGGAGGGAAAAAGGGAGGGAGGAACGGAGGGAGGAAGGAAGGGAGGGAAAAAAGGAAGGAAGGAAGGAAGGAAGGAAGGAAGGAGGGAGGGAGGGAGGGAGGGAGGAAGGAAGGAAGGAAGGAAGGAAGGAAGGAAGGAAGGAAGGAAGGAAGGGGCAACTTGGTCGGAGATGCCCCAGATCACGCAGTTCTGTTTCAATCCTGGATCCATTGAGACTTGGGCTCAAAGGAGAAAGCAATTTTGTGTTCTCTTTTTGTCACAGACAGGACTTTATTGGCAATCCAAGTTAACTCTGATATTCTTGAATTGTGAACTCTTAGGAAAGTATCCCCTCCTTGTGTGTTGCAAACAGCCATTTCCAGTGGGGGAAACAGGACAAAGCAGAGTGGGGAAAATATTTTCCTTTGCTATATTTCCAGTCTGAATTAGACCATGGCAGGGTCCCTGCAGGAGAGCCCTTTTAAGGATTATGTATTAATAGAAAAGCAACTAACTTACCTCTGTTCCTAAACGCTAAAGCTGTTGCACATAAAAAACATAAAAGTTCTGATCAACTATCACAGCCACCATTTTGACATTTCTGCCTTACTGTCGTCTGTGGATGCCCCCACTAAATGCAAGCCTGGGATAAACTGAGCCTGGTTTGTTCTCCGCCTTTTAAGTGGCCACAGACTGCTAGCAAAAGTGGCATTTGACCACAAGGCAAGGAGGCACCGAGAAATGTTTCCCCTTTTGCATTTGAGCATCCAAGAAGGGACAGGAAAAGAGAAAGGGAAAGAGGAAAGACAAACAAAAAGAAGGGAAGAGAGGAAGAAGGAAGAAGAAGGAAAGGAGAAGGAAGAGGGAAGGAAAAAGAAAAAAGGGGAAGGAAGGAAGGAAGGACGGAAGGAAGGAAGCAAGGAAGGAAGGAAGGAAGGAAGGAAGGAAGGAAGGAAGGAAGGAAGGAAGGAAGGAAGGAAGGAAG